TAAAAAAGAAAACACGTTTAGATGCACCTGTGTCAATTAAACACTGGGTATGTCAAACTTTCCTTTTTTTCCAAAGTAAAACAGCTCACACAAATAAATACAGTCTTCCTGACGCAAATCGAAAAAATGTACATGCAAATGCTTGAGGAAATAAAAAAAAAAAAAAAAAATATGCATCACCGGCGCGTAACCTTGACAAGGTTAAAAAAAAAAGGGGGCCTGAAACGACAGTATCAGCCCGTCCATCCGTTCGTTTGTCTGTCGCTCTCGAGAGATAGCACCACGGAAACGAACCGTTAGATCATCCGCTCCTTTCGCGGGAGCGAGCAGTGAGAAACAGGAGAAAGAAAGGGAACACCGGCGGACCGATGGGCCGAGATAACCCCTTGTCCCTGTGCCATCCCGCGAAAGACAAGTGCAGCGCGAGCTCCAGATTTGCATAATGCGCTCACCGCCGATTGTGCGTTGTGTATACCATATATACCCACCTTGGATATTATAATGGGAAATGTACCGCTATAAAACGAGAGAGTAGTTGGGAAAAACAGTGCTTGTGGAGTCAATTTCTTCATTTTTGACTTTTGAAAATCGGTGTGGTCACATCTATGGCTGTGGAAAAATTATTACACTATATATCCTTTGCTAGGGGCCTTTTTTTGTCTCGTGGCTACATAATTATCTCATTAACTGAATATACTCGGCTGATTGCTTGGCCAAAGCGCTCGGATGATGCGCGAAGTTTTTTAATTACTTTGGCTAATTGTTCATTTTATTTTCTTTGAAACACGTACTTTTCGATAAAGTAGTTTTTTCGTTCGTCATGTAGCCGGTTGTGTCGACGATTTTTATTGTAATATTCAAAAACTCGGATATCGTCTTTTTAAATTTAATTAGGCGCAAAGTAGTTAAATATTATATTTGTATGAAAAAATACATGCATGGGCTTGGTATAGGGCACACGATTACTTAAATGGTACATTTTTCTTGTGCTATAATCTTTAAACCACTTCAATCAGTGTAATTCACTCTTGAGGAAATGGGTAACCAAATTGATTAGCTTCAGATGCAGGATACATATTCATTTATTCACTGCCTACATAATTTGTTAAAATTTGCAAATGATTGCCGGAATATTTTCTTAAATATATAGACATTGAAATTATATTATTTCTAAACGTGCAGCACAATTTTTTAATTTATTGTAAAAAAACTGTGTTAGATACGCACAAAAAACTAATGTGTTATTTTTTAAAGTCTTTGTTAATAGCTTATTAAAATAAAAGATAGTTGGCTATAGTCTTTTTTTTTTAAATTATCCTAATTTTCAAATGACTCTTCACATTTTCAGTACATTCATTACATGGTAATGAAAATTTGTTAATTTTTTGGATCTAACTGAAATTTCAAAACGATTCTTGATTTTGATGTCAATTTACGTTAATTAACAATAATTTTTGTAAAAAATTTTTGATTGACAACCAGAGGTTTCTAATTTTCTCAATTATCATGAACAAAGTTGTTAATTTTTAAATGCGCGTGAAAATATTACTGTATTAATTTCGTCGCGCTGCAGTTTGAAACATTGATCAACTACAAAATTAACAAACATCCTCATTACAGCTACTAAATGCACACTTACGTGCAAGTATACTATCGCATATTATTTAAATGATCCATTGATAAAACATCAGATACAATATTGTACAGATAAGTAATATAAAGTACTTCATAATGTTTGCCCACCCCTGCGTGCATCTAATGCTATTGGTCGAACTGGAAGAGAAAAGAGTAAAACTGATTGAAATTCAAAAATAAAAGGTATACACTCGTTCGTTTGTAACGGCCTGAATCCCCAGTTGGGACAAAAGTCTCAAGCACAGCATATCTAAAAATCAAAAGATCAAGTACTTGTATGATCCAATAAAATGGTTGCATACACATATAAAGCACAAAGTTGAAAATTTCAAAGGCGCAACATAAAAAGTCAAAGAAGACAATTCAACAAACAAATAGGGGGTGGAGGAGGCTCCACACTGAGACGAGAAAAAGGTGCTTAGTACGCTTGTACGGCACTTATATATAGGCGGCAATAGTGGTAAAAAGGGAGGGGTGTTAATGCAGATTGGGAAAGAAAGAAAAACAACTTCTCCAGAGAAACAAGAGCGAAAGTGAAAATGTCGAGGAAAATCGCAGGAGGATACAACACATATATATATATATATATATATATGCATGCAACGACGGCGACGAGATAACGAAAACCCGTGTCACGAGCGTAAAATCGCGAGCGACATAGATAAAGGCTTGCGCGTTGGTCGGCGAGGTGTATATGTGTGTGTATACATCGGCGCGTGCATGTACACGAGGAGAAAGATCTTGATAAAAAATGAAGAAGCGGAGAAAAGAGAGGCAGTAAGGGGAGTAAGGTAAGTATATATGTGTAGGTGAGCGCGAGAGACGCGGCATCGGTGTGGGAAGTCGAGCGCGACCAATCGGCCGGCCGCTTCACCCGGGGACTCTCGGTTTCATTGGTCGGCGGGGACTCGGCTTGTCTCGCTCCTTCGCCCGACGGTGCGGCTAAGCCACGCCATCAGCCGGTGAGTATCGAGCGGTCGAGTACCCAAGCCGCGCCTCATCGCCCGCCACGCACACATATATATATACACTCACCCCCGTGAACATTCGTGTCTCTGTGTCTGTGTCTGTGAAGGTACCTACAAACATCCCCTGCATACACCCCTTCTCCTTCTACTATTTCCCCTGTGCGAATCTCTCTCTTTTTTTTTTTCCTTGCTACTCCCTTTTTCCCCCTCTTTCTTTCGCTCATCTACACAGACGCCTGGAAGCTGGAAAAGCTGAGACCCTGCACTCATCTGGTCGTCGAATTGCACATACACGGCACAGGTGATGTATATATGTGATACACAGGTACGTATATGATCTTTTCAATTTGGAGGTTTGGCGCGAGCTTGCGTTAGACTACAGCCCGGGGGCCTATAGACAACCCATCCGCGGTCGGGAACAAAGGGAGTAGGAGGACACAATACAATATACACTGTCCTTATCCCCCCGGTTCCTCGTATCCTCGCGGCTAAACGGCCCTACAGGATATTTAGGAAACACTTTTCTTTTTCTTTCTTTCTTTTTTTTTTTTTTGTGCTCGTCGCAAATTGCCAGTGCAGTATTACGTCTCATGGCGAAAAGTGCACGATGGTGGGTTCTTCCCTGGAAAAACAGGGTATAGACTGAGTAAACATCTCCAATTGTCGGGACGCTTATTAATACGCGATTGGACCGCTCTTGTCGCGTGGATGCAAAAATCTAGTAAGCTCGAGCTTTAAAACTATGACCACCACTCGCTATTGTGAATCCGTATGGGGAACCTTTGCAGAGCCTCTTACATCCCTTGGGATGAATATTCATGCCCCAGGAGGGAAAAATCCCCCGCGCGAGCAAGGTAAAAACAAAAGAGCAAACGCGTATCGACATCCGAATGTATGTGTATCGAACGAGCTATCGCCACGCGGAGAGAGAAAAAAAACAACGGAATTGTTCTCGAAGTGGCGGACGGACAGGGGGGGGGGATGAAAGTGCCGCCCGCGTGGAATGGCATCATATCATTTATTTCCGAAGCGCGGCGTATCATTTATTTACTCGTTAGGGCCCCTTATCCGGTCTCCCTCGGAGATACATACCGACTCAATATGTATATACACTCTCGAATTTTCACGCATTTTTTCCTGCTCCGATGGATTTATGTATACGCCGCCGATACTCCGTGGGGCTTATCGTTTATTATATTTTTATTGGGCACAGGTATACATACGTACACCTTGGGTAGACGAGCAATCGCCCAACATGAGCCTTCAGGGGAGAAAAAGAAAAAAAAAAAAAAAAAATATATATATAACAAGAATGAAAATTATCCTCCCCGCAAAAGTCATGGACAACGCGGAGTCGGTCTGCGCAAAATCTGCTTCTCCTCCTACACCCAAGAGTAGAAATTATTACAACCGCAGTACGCAGACGCCGAGCGGCGTGTGTATACGGCGCCGCGACGCCTCTCTCCCCCTCCCCCCCCTCCAACCGGAGATCTCTTCCCTCTTTGCTTCTGCGCTCCCCCGTCGACTTTTTTCGCCAAAAAGCCAACTCTGTATAGGTATACATATATACACACCGGCAAAGCTCGCGCGCGCTAGTAGTGTAGTCGTGCTTTGCCTCGGCCGCAGCTTCTGCTCCTCACCTCGCGTATACACCCTTATTGGCTGTATACACTCCCAAGAGGGGCTGGGAGGGGGACTCCACTACACCGTTGGCGCTGACGAGCTCCCGTGTGTCGTACAGTCATTTTAGCCCCTCACCGCAGTGCTGGTGGTAGTGCTCTCTCCTTGATTTTTTTTTTTTTCATCTCCTTTCGATCGGCGCCTCCACCGTTTTCTTCCCTTCCTCCTCGATTCCCCCTGCATAGCCTCTCTCTCTCATTCTTCTTCCCTTTGTCTCGTATGTACTCTCCCTCTGGCTGGTCGCGCGCGCGCCGCACGCTGCAGTGCACCGAGCGAGAGGGTAGTGTCGCGACGAGGGTGGAGTGTGCGCCAGCCAGTGCCGAGGGGTGGGGCGGGGAGGGAGGGAGGGGGGGGGAGACTCCTACCGAGGAGGAGACCGAGCGTCCATTTTTGTTTTAGTCGGCGCTGTTGTTTCGCCCGCGCGCGCGCGCGTATATCTACTCGCGTGTCGGGAGAGCAAAGTGGTCGGAGGGTGCGCGCAATATAATAACACACACACACGCGCGCGCACGCATAGAGCCGATGGCGATGGATTTGCAAAGTGGCGACGGGAGTTTCGACGGGCCCGGCGGAGGAGACGAGTCGAGACTGATGATGCAGGCCCCGCGAGGCGAGTGGTAGCGGTGAAGGAAGACAATTTTTCCTCGTCGGATATGGAGGTGTAGCGCGGTAGGCCGACCCGGTGCACGGATACGGGGAGTGACAGAGGAGGAGCGCGGCGCGAGCAAAGAGATACACACACACGCACACACGCTCCTCGAGATATTATATAGAGCATATATCTCCCGTGTGGAGGCGGTAAGTAGATACATTCGAGATAAGCTAGGCTATCGGCACGTTATATGTATATATTCCCTCCGTGGCGCGTGTGTGGATTAGACAGTCCCCCGCGTTTCTCCGATCACTGATTTTATCCTCCGCGGAACCAGTTCGATCAGCGTTTGAATGAGCTCCCCTCCTCTCATGGGTTTTTAATTTTTTTTTTATACTTGTGAATCGCGAGGACACTTGATTCTCATTTCGATCATTTTGGCCCGCGGAAGCGCGTTGACATGTAATGTACACGGGATTATACTTATATGTAGATGCTCTTGATGAACAATTAGTCACCGGATGACTATAGCTTATAAATCGACGAATACGTATATATATGTAAAAGTACGAATGTACACTGTGGTGATTGAACAACGATTGAACAACGCAAGTACTGGGAGAGTGTATAGCCTGGCAGAAGGAGATCAAGAGAACAGTGTATATAATATCCTTCCGTGTTGTATGCGTAACTCTTCGATCTCCCCCTTTGGTTTACACACAAGCGAGCGCGACGTATGGTGGCTCAGGTATTTGTCGAAGGGCAGGCATTTGGCATATTCCGGTGTCTCTCTCTCTCTCGCGAGTACGTATCTCTGGTCAATCCCTACACACACACACACCCAAGCAGAACCAGACGAAGAGGAGAGAGCGATCGTTGAAATTTCTCGGTCGAGCCGGCAGCGGAGGAAAGAGAGTACGTATACCTTACCCGTGCGAGCGGTGTGACATACGGCGGGCCCGAAAAAAAAAAAAAAAATCCACCAGAGACACCCATTTCCTCCCTTTTGCCGCCCACCCTTCCTCCTGTGTGTCTTGGTTGCGTTTCTTTTTCTTATACTCCCCCCCCCCTCTGAGGTTTCCTCTTTTTTTGTTCTCCTATCTCTAAGAAGGGGCGCTGGTCCCGAAAGGGCCCGTACTTTCGGGCGAACCAACGCGAAACCTCTCGTTTTCTCGGGATCCTCCCCCTCCCTTCGCTACACGAGTGTTTCTCGATCGATCGCGGCTTGATTTATTTTCATTTGTTTTAACACACACGCACGTGCCCCCATCTCTCTCTCTCTCTCTCGCACTCTCTGACTGGTCACACTGTCGCGTGCATGTTTATCTTGTTTTATTTTATTTTGATTTTTATTCCATACTGTATTAGCTTGCTATAAATACCTATACATTAATAATCTTTTATAGCTACAGATTATGTTTATGTTTACTCACTGAAGATAATACTGCTTGACAGCTCATGGTTCGCAAAATCTTTAATCTTTAATCATCAATTAAAAAAATAAGAAAAATTGTAAATATAGTGATAATGATGTATATCAAAATAATTTTTCTCAGTATTATTGTTTAGTGACTCTTAGTATACTCCAAATTGTTACTTATTGAAAGTGTTATACTGTCAGTTGTAAAATGCCACTTTTTAACAGCTCACCTATGGAGTGATGTTTTTCAGTTGTCATGTCACTATATTGTTGAAGAGAGAACTATATTATTATACTAATCTTCTAAACCTTAAATCAAATTTACATGTATTAATGAATACTATGGAATTATTGTTATTGGAATACTTGGCAAATGTAATTTTGATACTGGCCAGATAGGGTTTTACCCCATGGCCCAATAAATATATCTAATCTAATCTAATCTAATCTCCTCCGTCTGCGATTTGCAAGCTATACTAATCCCCGCGTATGAGCGGAAACGTCTTCCTTTGCTCTGTTACCGATCTTCTATAAAAGGGCTCTTCTGTCTATCGTGCCGGTGTGCCCGACAACGAGAAAATCGGAGATGAAATCTCATTTTGTTAAACGCAATACGCAACGCGAGAGATCGACTGGCGTGTATATACACTTGCTCCAAAATCGAGAGATCGGCACGAGTGCAGTTATAATATACGAGCATCGCGAGTTTTAACACCGACGGAGCCGTATTGCATGTTGAGGGGGCGTAGACGAGATTCTTTTTTTTTTTATTTTCTAAAAAGTATAAGCAATGGGGGGGGGAGGAAAAAACCTGTAGCGATCGATCGATAGCAGAGTGGGAGCACGTGCGTTTTATCTCGCAGTGACGGGAAGAAAGAGAGAGAGAGAGAGCAGAGAGGAAAAGAATGAGAAAAGGAGCAGCAGCGCAAGGTCCCGCTAATTAGCTACCGGTCGATTCGCAACTGATTTACTACCGGCACCAGCTGGGGACACAGGTACATGTTTATACCTATACACACGTATAGAAAGAGAAAACGAACGGGCGAGCCGAGAGAGTACACATGCACACATATACGTATAGTAGAGGAAGGACATTTTACTAGACGCATTAGCGGGCCGCGCCACACAGAGTTATACCGGGGAGAGTCTGCTGAATCGGTTTCATTCATAGACTTTGTACTCGCGCGCGCGCCTCGTATAATTTCCCCCGATGCGTGTTGAGGCAACATATACATCGGGTGTACACCTACGCGAGAGGATAGTCGTATAGCGCGACGCGAGGATATGCCGTTTGCATGCATGCATATATATATATATATATATATATCCGGTTTATCGCGCGTTCTTACACACATACGTAGAAGACTTCGAGCGCGTCGCCCTCCTCGTCGTCGTCGTCGTTGATCGTAATTAAGCCGCGCGCGTGCTAATACCCCTAGGAGTAGCGTACATACATATACATGCACACTGCAATGTGTTGTTGCACGCGTACTTTTTTTTTTTTTTTTCTTTGTCGAAGCACTTCACTTATCACTGTTCTGTAGGGATAGTTGGACGTTCCGTAGAGATTCGAAACGTGAAAAAAAAAATAGTTGATCTACAGTATGGTTGCAAATCATGAGTACTGATGGATGGTAGATACGACAAATGAATTGTGCTCATAAATACCGATGTTATTATTACTAAACGTAAAGTATAGGTGTGCGAGAAGAAAAAAAAATTCAGCAAGAATGTGTATGGCAAATTTAAAGATTTCCAATTGCAATTGGCCGTGATATGTTATTTGAAGATCCATCAGTTTAGGTACAATAGAAATCACTTTGTCCAAAATGGTACGAGTTAAGTCGCTAATAGTAAAAAAAGTCCCTAGACGGCGAAATGACACCAGATAACAATTCTAGCAAAGTAAAATTGTTTTTTTTTTTCTCTCAGTGGAATAACCATGCATGTGTTTTATCCTTTGTCCATATTGTTTATCAATGGACATCCCCACTCACAAAGACGGAAACGTTTCAGGTGCGTGTGAGGGCGCGATGAAACGCCATCGTCACCGGAGCCCGGTCGCAGCGATCGCCCCGACAAAAGCAAGAAAAGCCGGGCCAAAATGCTGAAGGAAGTCGGCTGCGGTGCAGGCGGCACGCCCCCGGCAGCCGACGGCGCTCGCCTCCAGCAGGGAGCCCCCGTTCCTCCGGACAACGTTACCGGCGGACAAAACCACAGGCCGGAGGACACCGCGGGCCTCAAGGCACTCGCATGCGGTGGTTGCGGCCGCGACATAGCCGAGCGCTGGTACCTCAAAGCGGCCGACCGCGCCTGGCACTGCGGCTGCCTCAGGTGCTGCCACTGCCGGCTACCCCTGGCCGCCGAGCTCACGTGTTTCTCCAGGGACGGAAACATTTACTGCAAGGAGGACTACTACAGGTCAGCTCGTTTTACATTTTACGGGCGCTTTGGACCAAGTTTAGCCTATGAGATTATCAAAAGGCATGGATCCGGGCGCCCGACAAAATTCGGGTATAATAGATGAGGAAACCCCGGTAGCCCAGATAAAACAATATCGCGGATCTTCGAGCTAAAAGCCGAGGTGTAATTATGTATATATCGGCGATACCTCCCCCCCCCCATCTCCTCGATAAACGGCCGGGCTCCAGAAATCGTGGCACTTGTATATATATTTCGCGCGTTAAATCTCGCGGGAAGGGTATAGAGAAAGAGAAAAAAAAAAAAAAAAAAAAAGGAGAGAAAAATAACGCATAATGCGAGCGCATGAACACCGAAAGCCAATATACGGGGAAGAAAGGCCCGTGGCGAGAGGGAATTAATGCAAGAGCCATCCGGGCGTATTTATTGGGGTAGCCGATGAATTTGCATAGCAGCAACGCCGAGCAGGAGCGTATGGAGGAAGGACCACACAAAACGCCTACTAATGGCCACTATATACTTTTATCCCTCCTCCTCCTCCTCCACTTCCTTCTCTTCTGTGTTCCATACGTATACTGCTGCCCGATACGCCGTATCCGTAGCTTTTATAACACATATGATACGCGTTTACACGGTGTGGTGCCTCCGAGCCGGGAAACACGTATAGCAGATTGTACATTGCCAAGTGACTATAACATACCATTGAAGAGAAAATCCCAAGATTTTTTTCAAAAGTTGTACGAGTGATCGGCGGTATGGACAATGGTATAAACGAGCCCAACCCCCTTGGCTCGTTTCCTCGGCGAATCTTTTGGTAAACCGTATACATGCGAGGTATAGGTACAGCAGTTGGGCGCGCAACAAAAATCCGATTTATTTCTATTACCGGTCGACAAATTGATTCAACCGACAAAAACCATCGGTCCGCGACCTGATCGCGTGTATGAATCGAGAGCTCTTGTTCCAGGAATCGCATCGCTCTCCCGTACATATACGCAACGACGAGGATGATAGATCTTGGGAGCAAAAACGCATCATCCCGGGATGTTCATATATATATATGTGTGTGTGTGGGCAAAGGGAGAGAGAGAGAGGAAAGTAAAACGCGAAAATAGGACGTGGAGCCCGTGATCGATGCCAGTGTACCTGCCCCGGCACGGCAATGTAGAATCAGGAGGCCCCTCCTCTCCCACCCTGTAACGAGGAGAGAGACGAGATATCGCGAGCGAGAGAAAGAAAGGTTAACGCATCATCGCGTATATGTATATATATACATATATACATGGGAAGTGGTGACTGGCACGTGTATATATATATATATGTGTGTGTACGCGTGTACCTGTACGATACCTATACCTTGATTCTACTTCGTTACGAGGAGAAAATGCACACAACGCGAGAAAAGTACTCTATACGTGTCCCATGCAATATGCAACGGATGCGTGATGCCGATGCTCTGTACCTATACACACATACTTGTACGTCCTCTTTTTTTCTTTTATCCTTTTCACATCGATGTGTACATGTATATACATTATACGTATAGGTGGATCCAGCTGGTAAACTGCCTACTATGTATTCCCCTCCCGATGTTTTCTTTGTCTTTATCTCAACTCCTCCCTGTGTTCGTACACTGCCCTCCTCTTTGTCCTACGCGCGCCAAACAAAGTGCATTTAGATCATCCTGTTGTTTTTTTTTTGTTTTTTTTTTCCCCTCTTTCTTTCATTCGCATAATTCAATTTAAATTTGTAATTTTCTTCCTCCTTGCTCGGGCCTATGTGGAGTATATTGTTGTTAACTTGCGAGTTTGGGTACACATATAGGAGGACATTGTCGTTCATCACGAATAAAGGAAAATGATGGTACTTCTTGTACACGAGATTCGCTGCTATAATTTTTTTAGAGAAAATCATTGTGATTATTTCTTTGATCGACAGGCTATTCTCGGCATCGAGATGTTCACGTTGCCGGGCGGGCATATCCGCGACGGAAATGGTGATGCGAGCGCGGGACCTGGTTTATCACGTGGCTTGCTTCACGTGCGCCTCCTGCGGCACTCCGCTTAACAAGGGCGACCATTTCGGCCAGAGGGACGGCCTCGTTTATTGCAGGTAATGGCCCCACGCCCGTAAGTACATATATATTTATATAATATTATGATGAAAACAAAAAGTCGCTCCACCCGGTTATTCTCTCCTTCTCCCGACGTTTGTGAAATTGGCCGAGAAAATATATAAAAAACGCAAGGTCCCGTTGCCCGAGTCATCATCATTTTTCATTTGGGACGTGTTTGTTTTTGCACGCGCACCTGCGACGCGACCCATCGACAACCGAGTCATTATAATATATTCCTTGCAATTTCGCGGGATTGACGCGCGTCGTTTCACACATACACCATGAGCTGTAATTAAAACCATTTTCTTTGCAAAACCAAAGACGAGACTACGAGCTGATATGCTGCTCCGTGGATTACGGGAGCACGTCGGGGAGCGTCGACGATCTCGGCTCGCCGGGGGTGTCGCCGCTGCCGGGCTACTACAGCGCAGCCGAGCAGAGTCCCATAACGTCGGGCGGCGGTGCCATCGGGGGTGGCGCTCAGAAGGGCAGGCCGAGGAAGAGGAAGCTCTCGGAGATCGCGGGCTCCGAACTGCCCGTCACCATGAGGCTGGCCGCTGGCGCGCTTGGTACGTATATATTATATACTATGTATACGATATGTATTTTTTTAATATTTATTCGTTATGTCATCGATAACATGAAAGATGTCCGGTGTAAGCAAGTAGGCGAAATGTAGTGGGTTTATTGTCCAGAGGAGCCGATCTGCGTCGTTTTGTATAATGCAAAAAAAAAAAAAAAAGAGAAAGGCCGAAAATAATCGAGGGAAGAAAAAAAGACAAAAAAGAGCAACGCAGGTGTCCTGCTCTCTCTCTCTCTTTCGGTGCACCTCTTTTTATATATTATTTCGCGTGTGCACGTGTTGTGCTCGATTTCTCGCGGACGACAAGAAGGGATATATATGTACATGCGCGAGTGACGCTTGATTTATATAAATAAGGGAGAGGGTCCGCGTCGGCGTTTTTTATCCTCCTCGCCTTATTTATTTCGCCCTGTTTCTCTTCGTCAGTTTCTTTTTTTTTTTTTTTTTTTCCTCTCCACGAGAGAGTCGCGTCGTGGTAAGCGAACAACAGTTGATTTCGGAGTGGTTACGTAATTTTTTTTTTCTTTTTTTTTTCATCTACTCGCGAGAGGTAATTTCATGTAGCGCTACCACGGGGTGTATTTTTAAAAGTTCATCATTCTGAGTAATAATTCGTACAGTTGACGAATAATCCTTGTCACTCTGTCTTAAATTTCCAATCAACGGCAGTCGATATCGGACAGTAAAATTTCTTGTCGCATACAAAAAAAACCATTTTCCCTGAAAGACTCGTGGCAGATATATATATATTTACGCGACAGAGGAAAAACCATACCGGCAACACCTGTGAAACCCTTTTTTCAAGCCTCCTTCTCCCATCGCCCAGGAAAAAGGGGGAGAGATAGCATTGTGCGGTCAAAGAGATGCCTCTTGCTGGTACGTGTGTATCCGTACAATGCGAACAGCCGAGAGGAGAGACAGCACCGGTATATGTACACGTGAGGGGGGAGCGAGGGAAAAAAAGGAAAAAAAAAAAAAAAATGAAATAAAGAAGAAGGAGAGCGGCCGGCCATTCCGGTTAGGCCGGGGCGCAGCACGCATTGGTCCGCGGCGGCATTCTTTTCCGCGCGCGAGCCGACCAATCGATGCATCTCGCCGGGGCCCCCTCGATACCCATCTATCACTGTCTCTTCTCTCCACCGGTCGCCTTCTTTTCTTTTGTATCCATTCTTCCCTCGGTTCTCTTCTTCCTTCTCGGATTCTCTATCTAACTTTTGCGTATACACACCACGACAAAGAGTCCAAGGAGTACAGAGGGACAGGTATACACCCATTGTGGTTTCATCACCGATTTTTGTTTACTTCAAATGTATATACTATATGACAGTCGTTGAAAATTTTTTTTTTTTTTTTTTTTTTCCTTATTTATTTATTAATCTTCGATGTACATACACGGCAAGAACAAAACAATTTGCACAAATGTTTCCACGAGCATAAATCGAATACCCGTACACGCATGGTATACTTTTTGCGATTTAATTTCTTCCTCCGACCGGCCGCGCAACTTGTTTCTCCTTTTAGGTATGGATCGCCAATACGCGCGCTGCTTACGAAATTCCAGGCTCGAGCGGAGAAAAAGGGGGGGGGGAGATCGATCTATCGGCCGAAGAAATTTTTGCTCGCCGAGGTATTACAATTGCTGATGCGTATACAGTGTGTACGAAAGAAAAAAAAAACAGAGAGGGAGAGCACGTGCAAATGGTGATAGATGCGCGCACAAGGGGGGGGGGAATGTATGGACGGAATGCCGATGGGGGGGGGCAATCTGACTTTTCGATTCGACGAGCACAGGATGAGGCCCAGGAGCCGCGGAGGGATTTTGTTTAAATAAATTATACGCTTGTTTTCGAGGGAGCCGGCTCCGATGTTGATAATGTATATATATATGTATACACCAGTTTATCAACGTTCCTACCCGGGTGCGGGTATACGTATATATAATGTAGGTACACTTGGGTTTTCGCATGTATAAGCGATGGCGCACGTTTGGAAAAGTGTGTCCGCGACTTGTCCTCGTCGTCGTCGCTGTCGTTATCCGTGAAGATTTATAAGATCCAGCTGTCACCCGGGGGGAGGGGGAAACCTCACCCCCCTACCGTCCCTTTATGTGTTTACGTGAGGTTTCCGTACGAGACGCCGAAGAAATTTCACCGACTGTGCAGGTTCGACAAACAAAGGATGTACACAACGACCATTTTTGTTATTGCCTTGAACTAAAGGTACTTTCAAGTTTTAATAAAATGTCCGAAATTTTTCGAATGACTTACGCAGCCCCTGCCCTTTAATCATGTATCCAGTCGTAAAAAGGTTGTGCGAAATGATATTTTTCACAAGCCTCCTTCGGCCGATCAAACAATTATACCTCCACGGCTATCATCGGTGACAAAAAGTATGGCCTGAAATTTACGTCAAAAGCCCCCCATTCCAGGAAGATTTCCGACTCCCCCCCCCAGACTCATTAACCCCCCTCGATTCATCAACTCGCAAGAATCCCCCCTGCCCCTGAGCGGTACCAGGCAACGACCCGTACCAGGAATTTTTGATCGCCGCGTGGCTGCGACGAGAACGGGGGGGGACGATTGTCAATTTTCTTGCCCCGCGCGCGGAAAAACAACATCAAGGGGAGACCGATGCGAAAAATGCCCCGCCACCCGTCTCATCCCGTAATCGTCCACCGCTCCACAATACGTATACTTTATATACCACACGTATATATGTACCCTGAAGCAGCTCGAGAGAAAAACTGAGCAATTTACGAGACGAAAGACGGAGAGGGGGAGAGAGTAGCGCACAATGGCGCGCTCGCGCGTATTTATATGGAAGAAGAAGCTGCGACGACGGCGTTTCCGTCTCTCCCTTTCCTGATGGCCGCGTTTTTTTGTACATAATTGGCCGGTATCGTTTTTGCGACAACCCCCCAGCCCCCCCCGCCCTACTTCGCTTCTGGGATGTATCTTCCTCTCGCACCGCCAAAAGGCGCGGCCGTCGTCCTCCTCTGTATATGTTGGGTTATTCCAACGTACACTTGATTTGCTCGTCTTACCAGCTCGCGGAGGTTCTTTCTCGCGTCGCGGGATATATATATATATAATATGCATGCGCGCGACGGTACCACCTCCCCGTTTTCACGAGTCTCTCGCATGAAAGGTGTACCCAAAAACATATGGCCACGTTCCTACTTTTACGAAATTTTGAAGATCACGATGAATCTCAATTCGCATCGTTTAATTGAGCGGAAGACGGTCTTTAGGTGTTAGCCGAAGCTCGGAAAATCACTTGTCGTTATAGAAACGACGGAAACGTGTAGTGAGAAAAAAAGCAACGTCCACGGCAAAGCAAAGCCGTAGAGCTGCCGGGGGGTTATACGGAGCGAGTATTTGCCGAGCGGCAATGATCGCGGGGCGCATATATATATACACACTCGAGTGAGCAAACAACAATTTGGCTTGTCCGCTCCTCGATAGCAGACTGACGCGGGAACTGCAAATACGACAAATCGCGCGCGTGGGCATTGTCTCGTAAGAGCTCCCCCCCCCCCTTTCTTCGAATCAAAAGTGGACTACGGCAATTAGACCCGCTGTTTGCTGTGCGTCACTCATGTACATATACACCAGAGGCCTTTCGACCGATTGAATGAAAGTTGTTTGCTCAAAAAGCCACGACCGAGTGTAATCACGTTGTTTCTTTCCTTGAGAGGGGGATGGTACAACTAACTATGTGTAGCTATGGAAAAAAAAAAACACATGTTATTCGATCGATTGCAGAGCTGCTGCATCCCACGGAGTTGTCCTCGTCGATGGAGTCTCTGGCGGCTTACGACGCGTCCACGGGTTCTCCGGGTGGTCTGATGCATCAGAGCCAACGCACAAAGCGGATGCGCACGAGCTTCAAGCACCACCAGCTGAGGACGATGAAGAGTTACTTTGCCATCAACCAGAATCCCGATGCCAAGGACCTCAAGCAGCTCGCGCAGAAGACCGGCCTGTCGAAGAGGGTCTTGCAGGTGAGGTGGCTCCTGTTGTTTATTCATGGCCGTGAAGCGCTTAATTGATCGAGCAGGGACGAATAGGGACGTTGTTGTTTCGTAGGAAAGATTTGGATGGTATTAATATTGTGGGTGATAAAGTGGAGGTTCATGAATCACGGAATAGAAAATGATAAAAGACCTTCAATGATGAATATGCTTGATAAATTATGCTAATCATTCAATGTAACAATAGAAAAATTCCATGACAATAAGTAGTAAAAGTATTTAAAAGTTATATATGCTAAAAATCAGATGGTACAACATGGTCTTGATAAACATTTCATGCGACAGTAGTCGGAATTTTTTTCGAGGATTATGAACTCATAGATGATGTTTTAATTAAAAATGAATAATCTGCCACGACGACTTTATACGAAACTCTAAATATGTCGTGGTAATATTGAGCTTTTTATTCGGATTACCGGTGATTGTGAATGGTCAAAGATAACGTTGTATGAGTAAGCAAATGGTCAAGCGAGTCTTACCTGTAAAGATTAAATTTGATCAAAACTTAAAGAAACAATTGATCCATTCGAGCAGCGGCTCTCCTGGTAAGCGAAGCTAACAAAATTTGTTGTCCAGGTCTGGTTCCAGAACGCGCGGGCGAAATGGCGGCGCAACATGATGCGCCAGGAGGGCGGCAACAGCATCACCATAGGCGGGGGCACGATGGGCGGGTGCCCCGGTACCCCGGCGTCCTCGAGCACCGGGGGTGGCTCGCCGGCCGGTCTCGGTGCCGGTGGCGCTAGTCTGCTCACCGACAGCAATAGCATGCCCTCCACCTCCATGGAGGAGCTCCACGCGCTCCACCACCTGCACTCGTCCCAGGTTCCCTTCTCCGATCTCTATTGACGCTGATTTGGAGGGAAAACAAAATTTGCACGTGCAGTCCACACAACTGACGTCATGTCGGCTGGATAAAAAGATACGATCAGGTGTAAGCTGTACTGCCATTGCCACCAGTATTAGTTTGAACTGTAAAGTAAATTGGCAAAAGGATGTTTTCGATGCATCATTCACAAAGACAGAAGCGCAGAGTTAGTCGGAGATGACGAAAAGATAATATACTCCGTGGACCTCTGGAGTGTTGAGGTCCTCGTCAACGGGGGGGTATCAAAGTGATGATAAATATAGTTCCATGCATATCCGAATTACCAAAGGCTTAGGTGATAGTTTTCATACGCGGGCGATAGTCGAGCTGTAGATAATTTTTCTAATCGTATCGTGAATCTTTTTTTTTTTTTTTTTTTTTTCAACATAGAGACGTGCCAACTCAATTGAAGTAAGTATGCAAATGAGCGAGAGTTGTTACAAATGTCTGTGGTAACAGGCTTTGTGCGCGTAAAGTATATGTAATTATGTCATACTTGTTGTGTAGTGAATTTAAATTAAGTAAAAATGCGAGGTATACGTACATCGAAGAAAAAGAGAAGAAATGCATACTGTGTCCATATTATTTATTTATTTGTTTTTTTTCTATTTCTCATTTGATGTATCAATGTTGGCGTTCTGTAAATAATAATATAACAATAGTATTAAATAACTAACAAACAGTGCATTGGCGACTAAAGCTTCAAAATTCGTCATCCGATCGATGTGTATTACTGAAAGAAAATTGAATAAAAAAAAAAAAAAAAAAAAAAATGAAGAATTAAAAATCTAGAAAATAAAAATGATGATAATTAGTACGGCAAAACGCGCGTGCGATCGTTCCTATATGTAAAATGTAACAAATTTAAATTTCGATGAATGGCTATTTTTAGAAGCAGTGCGTACAAAATTCGAGTTTATAACATGTATTATAAAGCATCGTACGTCCATAGTGCACCATCATGTCATACGTTCCCCGAAACTGTGCCACGAGACAAAGTTCGCCAAAAAAAAAAAAAAATACTGAAAAATAATTGACCACTCATTGATGTTCAACTGATGTACATGTAGTGATACACTGGATCGGAAGATCAGTACTGCTTGTTCGTCCCGACAATCTCGACGTTTTTCGGGAACGCGCGTTAAAGTCAGACTATAAACGGAAGTAGATTTCGCTAAGTTGCTAAAATAAAGGTACTAAAAAAAAAAAAAAAAAAATATCGCTACTTACCTGCTTCTTTTTTTGAACGGACCACCTTTCCCAAATAGCGTATAAGCTCGAAGGAAGAAAAAAAAAAAAAAAAAAAAAAAAGGAGAGAAAAATAACGCATAATGCGAGCGCATGAACACCGAAAGCCAATATACGGGGAAGAAAGGCCCGTGGCGAGAGGGAATTAATGCAAGAGCCATCCGGGCGTATTTATTGGGGTAGCCGATGAATTTGCATAGCAGCAACGCCGAGCAGGAGCGTATGGAGGAAGGACCACACAAAACGCCTACTAATGGCCACTATATACTTTTATCCCTCCTCCTCCTCCTCCACTTCCTTCTCTTCTGTGTTCCATACGTATACTGCTGCCCGATACGCCGTATCCGTAGCTTTTATAACACATATGATACGCGTTTACACGGTGTGGTGCCTCCGAGCCGGGAAACACGTATAGCAGATTGTACATTGCCAAGTGACTATAACATACCATTGAAGAGAAAATCCCAAGATTTTTTTCAAAAGTTGTACGAGTGATCGGCGGTATGGACAATGGTATAAACGAGCCCAACCCCCTTGGCTCGTTTCCTCGGCGAATCTTTTGGTAAACCGTATACATGCGAGGTATAGGTACAGCAGTTGGGCGCGCAACAAAAATCCGATTTATTTCTATTACCGGTCGACAAATTGATTCAACCGACAAAAACCATCGGTCCGCGACCTGATCGCGTGTATGAATCGAGAGCTCTTGTTCCAGGAATCGCATCGCTCTCCCGTACATATACGCAACGACGAGGATGATAGATCTTGGGAGCAAAAACGCATCATCCCGGGATGTNGAGGGATATTCGAACGATATGTGTACGCGTGGACCGGATCGTTTACACTCTATTACCTGCGATTTATTCGGAATACCATTTATACGGCGCACCATATCTGCGGACATATATTTTTAGTTTTGCAAATACATTCGACTATACGCAGCTAAATGCGATACCCTGTATGGTTACAGACTCCCGCAGTCGTTTCGTTTTACATTTGTGTACGTGTGCATAAAAGTTTTTTTTTTGCCCCGAGAGCGATAAAATGTAATGGCATTCTTTTTTGCGATACAATGATACTCGGATTGTTTGGTTGGTCAGTTTGATGCGTTAGTTTCAACCAGTGGAAATGCGAAGGGCTTTCAAAGCGTTTTTTCGTCCGAAACCGAGTGCCTAACTACATTCGTTTAATTTAAATTATGGGTAGGCGTTGCTCGCTCGCTTTTGATCACATTTGCAATTATTATTCGCTCTTGAGATTAAAATTCATTCGGTGGTTGATGATTAATCGAAATTTTTACATTTTTACATCGAATTTGACTTTTTCAATTTTATATTTGGTTTTAATAGAGATACTTTGTTTATTTTCTAAAAACGGATATTTAGTGAATCAAAAAAAAAAAAATCAAAAAATATCCACACCTCTCTTGCACTTAGTTCTACAACCTCCATAACTATAGAGGAAACTATTTTTCTTGCTTGTAATGAAGAAAAAATGCACCAATTCCCCCCCCCCTCACTTTCGACGTACCTCAACATATTGACCAGCATCGGTATCGTATCAGCTCGTGTAAGGAACAACGCGTGTTATTATATCCAGCGCACATCTAAGACGGAAAAGTTGCGGAAGGGGAGGGTACCTAAGCCAGCGGGCAGTAAATCGAAACGAGGAAGCTGAGCAGTACAGCCCCGAAGGCAAGATAGCGACAAGTCTCCGCTCGTCGTCGTAGCTGTCGTCTGCGCGTCCTTCGCAGCTGTAATCAGCGTAAGTCGATCTTAATGACGGTACGCGCGCGGCTGGTGGCCCCGAGATTAGATGCGAGCACGCCCCCCCCCTTCCCTCCTCCTGCTCTACTCATCATCGCTCGTATAACAATCGGTGTACGTATTATATATATATATATATATACACGTGCTGCGGCTCCTTCCCCCTCCGTACCCAGGGACCATCGAGTGTATACATATATACACGCGTCCGTCCGTCCATCTCTCCGTACGACGATTCGCTCGGCCGATAGTGGGCGAATGTTCACGAGAGCTCCCTCTCGCCGCTGCTTCGCCCACCCTTTTTATCGACCCTTTACCACTACAGGCACACATATACTGCACCACACCTCGTTTCCTCGTATACACGTATACACAAGTGGGGGGGCATTTTTTTTCTCCTCCCCTGCTTGATAAATAAATGTATAAGATTCTGGAGGTTTTTTTTATTTTTTCTTCTTTTCCTCCGGGGAAAACTCAATGAAATGCAATTGAATGGGAGCCACACCGGAAACCCGCTGTGTGTCTGACCGCGTTTAACGTTTGCACCAAAAATTTCCTCCTCCTCCTTAGTCCTCTGCTCTTTCAGGCGCAAAACTCGCGATTCGGCTCACGTAGGTATACGTGCGTCCATGCGTGGTTGCTCAATGGGTTCTCGACACCGGAGGGGGGGTAATAAAAAAATGAAACCAGATCAATCCATTAAAATAATCCAGCCAAGACGCGGCTCTCATCCCAATTGCTCGTTTTGCAATTTATAAGCCGCATAAACATTCCGGGGTGTATATATACCTACGTGCAGGCCCCTTGTACTGTTTTCAGAGGGTGAGTGTTGGTATTATTTTTAAAAAAGGGCGAAAAGTGTACTTCAGAGGTGTAAAAAAGAAAAAAAAAAAAAAAAAAAAAAAAAAAAAAAAAATTAAGGAACTACCGAAACCAGCAGCCATATACGCGGGTAAAAAGTAAACAAGTACCAGGTGAGTGAGTATATGATTAGCACTAAACTAGGTGTATTTAAGGGCTCAAAGAGACGAGTCCGCGTGGAGAAAGGAAGAGAGGCTCGGCAAAGAGAGAAAGACAAAGGACAAGAGAGGAGGAGGAGGAGGAGGAGGCCGTATATTTTGCGGAGGCTCGTATAAGTTAATTTTCAATCTATATGCGGCTCCGCGTTTCTGCTGGTCGGCCCCCGCCGTATTAGCGGCCAAGAGGGAAAACTAGGCGAATAATCGAGAGAGCCAAAACGGGCGGAGAGGGAGGAAAAGTATAGCCTCGGAGAGTTATCAGCGAAGAAATGAAGAAATTGAGGCTCTCGTTAATATATTTAATGAGCCGGCTGGCAGGCGGAGGGACGTACAGCTCTTTTGCATACACGTCATTTCTTTCTCATCTCTCTCTCTCTCTCTCTCTTTCACGCACACCCCTACAATACAACTACTCTCCTTCCGATTTTTACGCTCCTCTTCAATTTCGCTACCCTATACACACGGTGTGCACACCCCTTGCTCCCGTGTACGTCATTTACGACGCTTCGGCCCGAAATTACATACACGAGTGTTTTTCTTCCGCGTTTCCGTTACGCAAAAAAACAGCCCGACAAACGGGACGAAACGTGGCTCCGGCGACGCCTGAGATCGGGCACGCCAAGGGGAGGGGGTCGTACATAACAGTACTTTTTGGGCGGCCAATTACCTATACACACCCGATCTTTTTTTTTTTTTTTTTCCTTGGCATATAAACAACAAATCCCAGACGGACGTGTACGCGTCAGGAGTTTGCGTAAGAGACAGGCCGGACAGTTGATCGTGCATACATATGTATATATACACGTGTGTGTGTGTGTGCAAGGAAGAGAGGCCATTTCGAACGAGAACGAGAGGAAGAATGGCCGCCGCGACGTGCGGATATTGCTCCAAGGGGAGGAGATCGTGCATGTGCCTCTTTGGCGAAAGAAAGCCGCGTCGACGGGCTATTGTTCTGTCAAACGTCGGGCCGCGGAACGCG